TGATTTTATTGTTGCCGCTGGAGGCGGCTAGTTTATTGTGCACCCCATACTCATCCTGTGAGCGGTAGCGCAAAAAGCTTTACTGAGGGCAAAAAAGTCTTTATCAGACCTCATCTTAGATTATTACATAAACAATTTCATCTATCCTTCACACCTTATAGTTACAATGTCAGCTAGTTACAGAGAAAGTGCTGTTTCAAGAGCTATATATTTACAGCAAGTCATTATACATTAATGGTAGGTATTGGAGTTCCAGATTCCGGGACTCATAAGAGGGTCTCGGTAGTACAGTAGGGTTCGTTCTCGACTCACAATCGAAAATTCCGGATTCGAATCCCAGGCGGCGCAGAAATGGTTGGTCGTGTTTCATTTCACATCACCCTCTTGTCCAGCTAGCAGTAAACAGGTACCCAGGAGTTAATCAGCTTGTTGTGGGCTGCATGCTGTGCGGGGTCAGTAATTATACCTTATTATCGGTATATGTGGTTTGTGTTATACCGAGGTTCCTCCCTAGGGGGGGGGGGAAGCCTAACATATACCGTATGAATAACCTGGCTTCCTGTCCCCCGACACAATGAGTTATTATTAGGTATTATTCATCAAGTATTCAACAAACAATATCAAAGGCCCTTAACATTATTTAGAGAAGCCTGGGAGACTGTGGAGTTATGAGCGGCACAGTGACCACCGCGGAGGTCCTCCACCACAACACTGGTAACACACCACATGTGACAACTGATGAACCAGTAACACTAACATCACACATCATACACGTCTCTGTAAGCCTGCTAAGTGGTAAGATCACAGAGCACAAGGCTAAGTGGTAAGATCACAGAGCACAAGGCTAAGTGGTAAGATCACAGAGCACAAGGTTAAGTGGTAAGATCACAGAGCATAAAGCTAAGTGGTAAGATCACAAAGCTAAGTGGTAAGATCACAAAGCTAAGTGGTAAGATCACAAAGCTAAGTGGTAAGATCACAGAGAACAAAGCTAAGTGGCAAGATCACAGAGCATAAAGCTAAGTGGTAAGATCACAGAGCACAAGGTTAAGTGGCAAGATCACAGAGCATAAAGCTAAGTGTTAAGATCACAGAGCACAAAGCTAAGTGGTAAGATCACAGAGCACAAGGTTAAGTGGCAAGATCACAGAGCATAAAGCTAAGTGGTAAGATCACAGAGCACAAAGCTAAGTGGTAAGATCACAGAGCACAAAGCTAAGTGGTAAGATCACAGAGCATAAAGCTAAGTGGTAAGATCACAGAGCACAAGGTTAAGTGGCAAGATCACAGAGCATAAAGCTAAGTGGTAAGATAACAAAGCACAAGGAATCATGACGTCTACATGACCCAGGACAACACACTCTGCCTCACAACAATTCGGCACTTAGCCCACACTCTTTGACGCCTCACAACACTGCCCGGCGCCTCACAACACTGCTGGGCGCCTCACAACACTGCCCAGCGCCTCACAACGCTGCCCGGCGCCTCACAACACTGCCCAGCACCTCACAACACTGCCCAGCACCTCACAACACTGCCCAGCGCCTCACAACACTGCCCAGCGCCTCACAACACTGCCCAGCGCCTCACAACACTGCCCAGCGCCTCACAACACTGCCCAGCGCCTCACAACACTGCCCAGCGCCTCACAACACTGCCCAGCGCCTCACAACACTGCCCAGCACCTCACAACACTGCCTAGCACCTCACAACACTGCTCAGCGCCTCACAACACTGCCCAGCACCTCATAAAACTGCCCAGCACCTCACAACACTGCCCAGCACCTCACAACACTGCCCAGCACCTCACAACACTGCCCAGCGCCTCACAACACTGATGAGAGCCTCACAACACTGCCCGGCTCCTCACAACACTGCCCAGCTCCTCATAACACTGCTGGGCGCCTCACAACACTGCCCAGCTCCTCACAACACTGCCCGGCGCCTCACAACACTGCTCGGCGCCTCACAACACTGCCCAACGCCTCACAACACTGCCCAACGCCTCACAACACTGCCCAGCTCCTCACAACACTGCCCGGCGCCTCACAACACTGCCCGGCGCCTCACAACACTGCTCAGCACCTCACAACACTGCCCAGCTCCTCACAACACTGCCCAGCACCTCACAACACTGCCCGGCGCCTCACAACACTGCCCAGCTCCTCACAACACTGATGAGCGCCTCACAACACTGTCCAGCTCCTCACAACACTGTCCAGCACCTCACAACACTGCCCAGCTCCTCACAACACTGATGAGTGCCTCACAACACTGTCCAGCTCCTCACAACACTGTCCAGCTCCTCACAACACTGTCCAGCTCCTCAAAACACTGATGAGCGCCTCACAACACTGCCCAGCTCCTCACAACACTGATGAGCGCCTCAACACTGCCCAGCTCCTCACAACACTGCCCGGCGCCTCACAACACTGCCCAGCGCCTCACAACACTGCCCAGCGCCTCACAACACTGCCCAGCGCCTCACAACACTGCCCAGCGCCTCACAACACTGCCCAGCGCCTCACAACACTGCCCAGCACCTCACAACACTGCCTAGCACCTCACAACACTGCTCAGCGCCTCACAACACTGCCCAGCACCTCATAAAACTGCCCAGCACCTCACAACACTGCCCAGCACCTCACAACACTGCCCAGCACCTCACAACACTGCCCAGCGCCTCACTACACTGATGAGAGCCTCACAACACTGCCCGGCTCCTCACAACACTGCCCAGCTCCTCATAACACTGCTGGGCGCCTCACAACACTGCCCAGCTCCTCACAACACTGCCCGGCGCCTCACAACACTGCTCGGCGCCTCACAACACTGCCCGGTGCCTCACAACACTGCCCAACGCCTCACAACACTGCCCAGCTCCTCACAACACTGCCCGGCGCCTCACAACACTGCCCGGCGCCTCACAACACTGCCCGGCGCCTCACAACACTGCTCAGCACCTCACAACACTGCCCAGCTCCTCACAACACTGCCCAGCACCTCACAACACTGCCCGGCGCCTCACAACACTGCCCAGCTCCTCACAACACTGATGAGCGCCTCACAACACTGTCCAGCTCCTCACAACACTGTCCAGCACCTCACAACACTGCCCAGCTCCTCACAACACTGATGAGTGCCTCACAACACTGTCCAGCTCCTCACAACACTGTCCAGCTCCTCAAAACACTGATGAGCGCCTCACAACACTGCCCAGCTCCTCACAACACTGATGAGCCCCTCAACACTGCCCAGCTCCTCACAACACTGCCCGGCGCCTCACAACACTGCCCGGCGCCTCACAACACTGCCCAGCTCCTCACAACACTGATGAGTGCCTCACAACACTGCCCAGCTCCTCACAACACTGCCCGGCGCCTCAACACTGCTGGGCGCCTCACAACACTGCCCAGCTCCTCATAACACTGCCCGGCGCCTCACAACACTGCCCGGCGCCTCACAACACTGCCCGGCGCCTCACAACACTGCCCAGCTCCTCACAACACTGATGAGCGCCTCAACACTGCCCAGCTCCTCACAACACTGCCCGGCGCCTCACAACACTGCCCGGCGCCTCACAACACTGCCCAGCTCCTCACAACACTGATGAGTGCCTCACAACACTGCCCAGCTCCTCACAACACTGCCCGGCGCCTCACAACACTGCTGGGCGCCTCACAACACTGCCCAGCGCCTCACAACACTGATGAGCGCCTCACAACACTGCCCAGCGCCTCACAACACTGATGAGCGCCTCACAACACTGCTGGGCGCCTCACAACACTGCTGGGCGCCTCACAACACTGCCCAGCGCCTCACAACACTGATGAGCGCCTCACAACACTGCCCGGCGCCTCACAACACTGCCCAGCGCCTCACAACACTGATGAGCGCCTCACAACACTGCTGGGCGCCTCACAACACTGCCCAGCGCCTCACAACACTGCCCAGCGCCTCGCCAATAGCCGGGTGTCACTGTCATGCTGGGTGATTTAGACTGGTGTTAAGGCAGCGTAAAACAGCGATGAGATGAGCGATAACGCTACTCATTTCCCTCGAGCGAGGCGAGAAAAATGAACCTTAGGATCTTGACATTCAAGCTCCAGAACCATTCAAGGTTTAATTGGACGCGGAGCTTGTCAGCCGTGTCTTGCCGGGTACACGGCGGACCCACCCAACGTTCAGGGCTCGTGTCCACCAATCCCAGCCGAGGTTATTTCTCTCTGCCAATGGGGTGGGGGGAGGCATGGGGGTCAAGGATATGCCCCTAGGTAATGGGGGAGGCGGAGAGAGGCACTTCCTTTCATTCATGTGCTGTGGACGCGGCAACATCAAAGGCCCTGGCAGCCTACTCCGTCCGGATAATTAATTCCCCAACAGCTTATATTAGCTTTCATTCATTAAGGGCATGAAAGCCTTAACTTGGCGAGGGTCGCGTAGCATGCTCGTGGAGGATGCTGCCAGCCTGATCACATGAGGGTGGTGTCAGTATGCTGGTAGCCTGATCACATGAGGGTGGTGTCAGTATGTTGGCAGCCTGATCACATGAGGGTGGTGTCAGTATGTTGGCAGCCTGGTCACATGAGGGTGGTGTCAGTATGTTGGCAGCCTGGTCACATGAGGGTGGTGTCAGTATGTTGGCAGACTGATCACATGAAGGTGGTGTCAGTATGCTGCCAGCCTGATCACATGAGGGTGGTGTCAGTATGTTGGCAGCCTGATCACATGAGGGTGGTGTCAGTATGTTGGCAGACTGATCACATGTAGGTGGTGTCAGTATGTTGGCAGACTGATCACATGAAGGTGGTGTCAGTATGTTGGCAGCCTGATCACATGAAGGTGGTGTCAGTATGTTGGCAGACTGATCACATGAAGGTGGTGTCAGTATGTTGGCAGCCTGATCACATGAAGGTGGTGTCAGTATGCTGCCAACATGAGAGTGGTGTCAGTATGTTTCCATCCTGATCACATGAGGGTGGTGTCAGTATGCTGCCAGCCTGATCACATGAGGGTGGTGTCAGTATGTTGGCAGCCTGATCACATGAGGGTGGTGTCAGTATGTTGGCAGACTGATCACATGTAGGTGGTGTCAGTATGTTGGCAGACTGATCACATGAGGGTGGTGTCTGTATGTTGGCAGCCTGATCACATGAAGGTGGTGTCAGTATGCTGGCAGCCTGATCACATGAAGGTGGTGTCAGTATGCTGGCAGCCTGATCACATGAAGGTGGTGTCAGTATGTTGGCAGACTGATCACATGAAGGTGGTGTCAGTATGTTGGCAGACTGATCACATGTAGGTGGTGTCAGTATGCTGCCAGCCTGATCACATGAGGGTGGTGTCAGTATGTTGGCAGCCTGATCACATGAGGGTGGTGTCAGTATGTTGGCAGCCTGATCACATGAAGGTGGTGTCAGTATGTTGGCAGCCTGATCACATGAAGGTGGTGTCAGTATGTTGGCAGCCTGATCACATGAAGGTGTTGTCAGTATGCTGGCAGTCTGATCACATGAAGGTGGTGTCAGTATGTTGGCAGACTGATCACATGAAGGTGGTGTCAGTATGCTGCCAGCCTGATCACATGAGGGTGGTGTCAGTATGTTGGCAGCCTGATCACATGAGGGTGGTGTCAGTATGTTGGCAGACTGATCACATGTAGGTGGTGTCAGTATGTTGGCAGACTGATCACATGAAGGTGGTGTCAGTATGTTGGCAGCCTGATCACATGAAGGTGGTGTCAGTATGTTGGCAGACTGATCACATGAAGGTGGTGTCAGTATGTTGGCAGCCTGATCACATGAAGGTGGTGTCAGTATGCTGCCAACATGAGAGTGGTGTCAGTATGTTTCCATCCTGATCACATGAGGGTGGTGTCAGTATGCTGCCAGCCTGATCACATGAGGGTGGTGTCAGTATGTTGGCAGCCTGATCACATGAGGGTGGTGTCAGTATGTTGGCAGACTGATCACATGTAGGTGGTGTCAGTATGTTGGCAGACTGATCACATGAGGGTGGTGTCTGTATGTTGGCAGCCTGATCACATGAAGGTGGTGTCAGTATGCTGGCAGCCTGATCACATGAAGGTGGTGTCAGTATGCTGGCAGCCTGATCACATGAAGGTGGTGTCAGTATGTTGGCAGACTGATCACATGAAGGTGGTGTCAGTATGTTGGCAGACTGATCACATGTAGGTGGTGTCAGTATGCTGCCAGCCTGATCACATGAGGGTGGTGTCAGTATGTTGGCAGCCTGATCACATGAGGGTGGTGTCAGTATGTTGGCAGCCTGATCACATGAAGGTGGTGTCAGTATGTTGGCAGCCTGATCACATGAAGGTGGTGTCAGTATGTTGGCAGCCTGATCACATGAAGGTGTTGTCAGTATGCTGGCAGCCTGATCACATGAAGGTGGTGTCAGTATGTTGGCAGACTGATCACATGAAGGTGGTGTCAGTATGTTGGCAGCCTGATCACATGAAGGTGGTGTCAGTATGTTGGCAGCCTGATCACATGAGGGTGGTGTCAGTATGTTGGCAGCCTGATCACATGAAGGTGGTGTCAGTATGATGGCAGACTGATCACATGAAGGTGGTGTCAGTATGTCGGCAGCCTGATCACATGAAGGTGGTGTCAGTATGTTGGCAGCCTGATCACATGAGGGTGGTGTCAGTATGTTGGCAGCCTGAACACATGAAGGTGGTGTCAGTATTCTGCCAGACTGATCACATGAGGGTGGTGTCAGTATGTTGGTAGCCAGATCACATGAAGGTGGTGTCAGTATTCTGCCAGACTGATCACATGAGGGTGGTGTCAGTATGTTGGCAGACTGATCACATCACGATGGTAATAGAGGAGAATATGACCGGCTTCGCCCTCCTGGGTCTGAGATATGACAAGTAGATCCCGTAGACTTAAGTGTACCTTCTCAGTAATTATCACATGCCTCTGTATGACTAACCATCCTGTGTGATGGGGATTTCTTAGCATCACCTAGTTAGCTTTTTTGACACACTGTACTCTACTTCATATAGTCTAGGGTAGCTGCACTAATGCAGATGTACCTCATATCTTAATAAAAAAAAAAAAATGTAAGTGGTATCCCAACCCACATGAAGTTGAACCCATCCACAGTTGTGAGAGGGAAGCCGACCCCTCTTCTAGAGCGAGCCCGTAGCCTTAACAAACCCTTTTCCAGAAATGTTAGAACCATCCGACCTCTTCCTGCCATTGTGAGGCGAGTCCTTCCACATGTATAAGAGCTTATGCCGGGGCCGATCCTTGCTTGGAGCCCGTAGACTTAGGTTAGTTGTGAGGATTTTAGTGTGTGCTTCTACCACTATCGGTGACGTCCCCCCCCCCTCCCTCCCCCGTCATCATAATAGAGTGTCGCATTTTGACGCCAACTTTACCTAAGGTCAAAAATCGTCGGACTAGTAAATGGTACTTGTAAATTTGCCTCTCGTGAAATTGACATAATGTCCCGTTTTCTGTTTTAGGTCCTCTGGTAGGTTAAGGAAGAAGACTTTAGTACGACAGTTTCTTAATGATGTTGGAAAACCTTAGGAGGGTTGTCTGCTCCAATCAGCTACCACCACTTCCACCACAGTTGCCAATATTACGATTCCCTCCAAGTACCCCGTATCTACCACCCGCAAATATCACCTCTGCCACCTACAACTCCTTCAATCTCCACTCACATCTACCTATCTCAATCACCAGCTCCATCTAACAACACCAGAACAACCACCATCAACCCTATTTCGCGATTTCATGACCAAAAGGTTTGGTAAGGGTGTGTGGAGGGGAAGAGGATAAGGAATAAGGATGGAAATTCAGGAAAAATGATGAGGGAGAAGTATGAGTGGGGTGAAGAGTGTAGTGGCCTGTCCACCTTGGCTTGGTAGTCATTGTCTTGCTGTCAAGTAAATGGAGCACGTTGGTAATTTGTTGGTATGGCTGCTGGGGTGGCCGGCGGAGGCGGGCTGTGATGGCGGGCAGGAGGACTATTAGTGAGGCTGGCTGAGGTAAACTTCACCAGCGACACTCGTCCAACTATCCATCTTTCTGCACTGGTTGCCCGCGGTACGTTGTTTGAATTTTTTTTTAACGTGAGAATTGGTTCAGGGAGGATCCAGTCCTCCAGGTCTTCTGGTAAGTCCTCAAGTATGCGCGGCCTCTGGAAGTCAGGACTGTGTATGAGTCTTGGGACTTTCTGCTGTAGTTCTATGAGGAGGTTCTTGAATTACGTAATCACTCGAAGTGTTCTCTTTTATTAAGAGGTCCTCTTGGTCTGGTATATAGAGATGCTGCATCCTATAAAGTTGTTTCCTGGAACGGTGGTTGAGCCGGACATTCATGGGCATGACTTTGAGTGCTCTATGGAGTTGATCCGTTGGGACCCTGTTTCTTAAGGATATTTTTGCTGTGAAGTAGAGGGCCTCTTTTGCACACGTTGAAGGTTGCAGACGTTGGTTATTAGTCACGCTTAAGAGCATATAGGGTACTTCAAAGCCGGTCTGATGATCTTCTTGTAAAGGTGCACTTTGACACGAGTGGGCGCTTCAGCAAATCTGTATAGTCTTGAGATTGAGCTTTTGGCCATTGCCATTTTTTCGGAGCACGGGGCTCAAGCTTGAGCCCTGAGGAACACCAGCTGTTATGGTGAAGGTCTTTGCATTTTTCACGTTGAAATGGGTCGTAACTTTTTTATTTGGCAAGAAGTTTCTGATCAGACGGAGGAAGGTCCAGTTTTAAGCCGGTATGTTCGTGAGTTTGTACAAAAGACCCCTCGTGCAATAAGCTTTCAAAGGCTTTGTGCACATCTCTAGTTGCTATTACGGCCACCTGGTTTGGCCGGCGAATGCTGGAGACCACATCATAGATGATGTTGATTTCATGTTGCTTCGATTGATGCCTCCTGAACGAAAATTGTTTTTCAGTGTAGAGGTTGTTGTATTCGAGATAATAGTTGAACCAGTTGGATATGATCTTTTGGAAGCTTTTACCAGTGTTTCCAAGAGCAAGATGGTCGGTAATTCTCGGTGTAGTGTTTGTGTTTCTTTTAGCTTTGGGATGAAGATCATCCTCACTCTCTTGAAGACTTCTGGAATGTTTCCTAACGCTAAGATGGCATTGAATACGTTCAGGAGTGACAGTATGTAGTTCCCTGGCAGGAGTTGTATAGGTTTTGTCCATATATCTGAATGATCTAGGGCCTTGTTCTGGGTGCTCTTTATAACCCCTGCCATTTCCAGTGTGGTGATCGGTCTGGTCAGGGATGGTCTGCTAGGAGACTAGTCAACCACCGGGTCATCTGCCAGGAAGGCGTGGTAAGCACGCATTTTAATTATGACTGGGATATGGTCCGATCCAATCTCCCCTCCCCACGGTAACTCTACAGTGGAACATATTGTAGTCTCTGTTAGTGAGGACAACGTCTGGTGTACCCCAGATGTTGCCACCAATGAAAGTTTTGAAGTGGTGGCCCTGGAATGTGAGGTTCCTGCTCAGCATTAAAGTGTACAGCCCTTGTGGTCAGCTCTCGCCGGCTGGCAGTTTTAAAGGGCTGAGTGGTGAGTGTTAAACGTCGTCAGCAATGATCGTTCGCTCGTTCCTGTTCAGGAGCTGGTTGAGAGGAGTTGAAGGAAGATAATTGAGTGTAGGAGGTGAGTATATGCCGTACACATGACCAGGGGCCCATGGCTGGTAGAGAATTCCACTGCAAGAATGTGGTCTCCGTCAACCTAGATCATGCGATATGTGAGGCCTCTCTTGATCACAAAGGTGGTTCCGCTGTACACTTACCTGTTCACTTCCACTGTTGAGTGACCCAGAGGGAGATATGTTGAGCGGTTTGTGCTGCCACATCATTGAGGAGGATTATGTCCGGGTTGTGGCTCCTCACCTCAAGTGAGAGGACATATCTGTCCTTGAAAAAATGTTTTATGTTTATAAACATTATAATTACTCCCATTATTGTGATACAGACCGGGGCTGTCAGCGTGTGAGGCAGGGTGGGCCACTGTCAGCGTGTGGGGCAGGGTTGGCCACTGTCAGCGTGTGAGGCAGGGTGGGTCACTGTCAGCGTGTGAGGCAGGGTGGGTCACTGTCAGCGTGTGAGGCAGGGTGGGTCACTGTCAGCGTGTGAGGCAGGGTGGGCCACTGTCAGCGTGTGAGGCAGGGTGGGTCACTGTCAGCGTGTGGGCCACTGTCAGCGTGTGAGGCAGGGTGGGTCACTGTCAGCGTGTGAGGCAGGGTGGGCCACTGTCAGCGTGTGAGGCAGGGTGGGCCACTGTCAGCGTGTGAGGCAGGGTGGGTCACTGTCAGCGTGTGAGGCAGGGTGGGCCACTGTCAGCGTGTGGGGCAGGGTGGGCCACTGTCAGCGTGTGGGGCAGGGTGGGCCACTGTCAGCGTGTGGGGCAGGGTGGGCCACTGTCAGCGTGTGAGGCAGGGTGGGTCTCTGTCAGCGTGTGAGGCAGGGTGGGCCACTGTCAGCGTGTGAGGCAGGGTGGGTCACTGTCAGCGTGTGGGCCACTGTCAGCGTGTGTGGCAGGGTGGGTCACTGTCAGCGTGTGAGGCAGGGTGGGCCACTGTCAGCGTGTGAGGCAGGGTGGATCACTATCAGCGTGTGGGCCACTGTCAGCGTGTGAGGCAGGGTGGGTCACTGTCAGCGTGTGAGGCAGGGTGGGCCACTGTCAGCGTGTGGGGCAGGGTGGGCCACTGTCAGCGTGTGGGGCAGGGTGGGCCACTGTCAGCGTGTGGGGCAGGGTGGGCCACTGTCAGCGTGTGGGGCCGGGTGGGCCACTGTCAGCGTGTGGGGCAGGGTGGGCCACTGTCAGCGTGTGGGGCAGGGTGGGCCACTGTCAGCGTGTGAGGCAGGGTGGGCCACGGTCAGCGTGTGAGGCAGGGTGGGTCACTGTCAGCGTGTGAGGCAGGGTGGGCCACTGTCAGCGTGTGGGGCAGGGTGGACCACTGTCAGCGTGTGGGGCAGGGTGGGTCACTGTCAGCGTGTGAGGCAGGGTGGGCCACTGTCAGCGTGTGAGGCAGGGTGGGCCACTGTCAGCGTGTGAGGCAGGGTGGGCCACTGTCAGCGTGTGAGGCAGGGTGGGCCACCTGTCTGGGTCTCTGTGAGTTATCAGGGTGTTGTCTGTGTCTCTGTGAATTATTAGGGTGTTGTCTGTGTCTCCGTGAATTATTAGGGTGTTGTCTGTGTCTCTGTGAATTATTAGGGTGTTGTCTGTCTCTGAGTTATCAGGGTGTTGTCTGTGTCTCTGAGTTATCAGGGTGTTGTCTGTGTCTCTGTGAGTTATCAGGGTGTTGTCTGTGTCTCTGTGAGTTATTAGGGTGTTGTCTGTGTCTCTGTGAATTATTAGGGTGTTGTCTGTGTCTCTGTGAATTATTAGGGTGTTGTCTGTCTCTGAGTTATCAGGGTGTTGTCTGTGTCTCTGAGTTATCAGGGTGTTGTCTGTGTCTCTGTGAGTTATCAGGGTGTTGTCTGTGTCTCTGTGAGTTATCAGGGTGTTGTCTGTGTCTCTGTGAATTATTAGGGTGTTGTCTGTGTCTCTGTGAATTATTAGGGTGTTGTCTGTGTCTCTGAGTTATCAGGGTGTTGTCTGTGTCTCTGTGAGTTATCAGGGTGTTGTCTGTGTCTCTGTGAGTTATCAGGGTGTTGTCTGTGTCTGTGAGTTATCAGGGTGTTGTCTGTGTCTCTGTGAGTTATTAGGGTGTTGTCTGTGTCTCTGTGAATTATTAGGGTGATATCTGTGTCTCTGTGAGTTATCAGAGTGTTGTCTACGTGCTGTCAGTGTTGTCAGAAAGTTGTGTTACTGTACTGTCAGGATTTTGTGTGTGTGCAGTCAGGGTGTTGACTGTGCTTTGTCACGGGGGTGTTGTCTGTGTTGTCAGTTTGATGACATGTTGCAATCATCAACTAAGGTGTCAAGACGCTGGTTTACATTTGTCATCATTTGCCTCTTTGCCTCTGGTCGTGTTTGTGGCCTCAGTGTTCTGTGTCAATATATTTTACTGGTCATATTGTCCCTGTAACCTTACTTCTCCCTCCTCCACTCCACCCTCCTCCACTCCACCCTCCTCCACTCCACCCTTCCCACTCCAGAGATTTGTACTCGTGCGTCCTCGTAATGTGTGAGTGTCGACCGCAGTTGTCGACACTCTCTGTTATGAGAGATTAATATGACTAAGCCGGTGACAAATGTGACAGGTCCAGTAACTTATAATGATAAATGAAGAACGCATTATAGATAAGTTCTTTCTCGCTGTGTTTACTACAGGAAAGTTTGATGTTTTAACTGCAATTGAAAAAATATTAAGTAGGTGGTAAAGAGGAATTTATTAAATAATACAAAAATATAGACCAATAAATTCCCAGGACTAGATACACACTATTTATCACAGTGTACAGCTGAGCTCAGTAGGCCCTCGGCTCCATATTTAATATATCATCAGAGCCGAGCAAGTACCAGTAACGTGGAGGGTGGCAAATGTGGTCCCGATTAAAATTTAAGTTCTACTGGAGCATTGCTCGATACGATAGTCCGAAAAGGCATTATTCGGGTTCTCATAAATAAAAGCAAGATTCTAACAAATCTTGAGAAACTTCAAGACTCTCAACATTATCAGATTTGCTGGTGATACAAAATATGGCTGGAAATAAATACAAACTTGCTACATGACTTAAATATTTGTAAAGGACAAATGAAAGTGGCAGCTTAATGCTCACTTATCTAGGAAGAAAGGTAATGATAACGTATTCCAGATATCAGCTTGATAACACTGAAATTGCCAAAGCCGTAGGCGAGGAAGTTCTGGGTGTCATCATTAATAGGGCTCTCAATATACACACACATGTTAGAAATATGAAAACGGCAGAAGTTCTAGTAGCCATACAAGGCGGTTCCAATCAGATAAATTCCATTACATATATGAACCAAACTTTAGTGTGAAACAATCCATCAATCCAACGTCTATTATGTTACTTGGCCATATGTTCAGCCGTTTTTCATTAACTGACCAAGAGGTCTAAAATCTGCATTCAATGATGTGGTGTTCAAGTGAATGAATTAATGGACTGGAAGATATCTTAACCAGTTATCTTAAACTTGCTCATCCATTTTAAGGAACAAATCACGTTAATTTTATTTATTATTATTTCCTTACGCTGCATCTCTCATTACACCATCGCTGCCTTGTGTCTTAGTAAACAGTTGAATGATGAATTTACGCATTTAAAAACTGAAACGAGTATAGTGTCCGTAGTACATAGTAATATCATGAAATATATGTGATTGAATCAACATTTTAGACGTATTGTCTTGTATATGATCCTCTGCCTTGTCGGACAGTGAATACGAGCATTACGTCACTGTTCTGTGTGGCAGTGAACATGACCAGCACCTCACTGTTCTGTGTAGCCGTGAACATGACCAGCACCTCACTGTTCTGTGTAGCCGTGAACATGACCAGCACCTCACTGCCC